GTGGGGGGGGGGGGGGGAACCTGATTAGCAGCAACCCAGGAATGATTAATGGCAGCTGTTCCTGTGAGAGCTGCTGCAAAAATAGCAATAGCTTTGACAATGTCGGTCTTTGGCTGGTAGTTCGCTTCAAAGTAACTCGAACTCGTTTCATCAACAGAACATAAAGGGTCGCATGTTCCTGATGACTCCATCAGGTCCTGTAGGAAATAACAGAGATCCATATGAAATGCAACCACCTCAAAAGGTATATGCTTCTTTCTTATGGTTATACGATTATGGATTGTTATGACACCCTTTCTATGAATAAGAATGAAAGCTTTTGCATCCCATATCACCTCTCTCGACTAGATTTCACTGACAGCAAAAATATTTTTGAGCTTCTTACCCATTTGCTCCAATTTGCATCAAAATTCGAGTTCATCAAACTGAAGACTCCGGAATGTATAAAGGAAGAATCTAGTACTGCCATAAGTGTTGATTTCGATTGAATAATAACGAGCAAACACGTCACAGACCCAAAGTCACATAGAACGAATACGACATACGAGTTTATGACGATTCGACCCCAAAATCAAGAATCAATCTATACTAAATGGGTACTCAGATAGTTCGATTTTATTTTGGTAAGGGAAGGAACTGGAAAAACCAAACCTGGAGCTGTGCTTCATCGTCGATTTGAGCTTGTTCTTCGACCGAACGAGAAGTGCCCCGTGCCTTATCCTCAGCCCTAACAAGAACACCATTTCTCGAAAATCTCGGACCTCGAATTCCGGAAAACGACAAATTTTGCAGAAACTGGGTCGAGGTCGAGGGAGAAATCCGCGACGAAGCGACGACGGAGCGTCTCTTCCTCAACCGATGAGAAGGCAGAGCAAGGTGTGAGCCTATGGAAAAGGCCGCCATTGGAGAAGCTTGATAGCTTCCGGAGAAGATTACAGTAATGGTGGTGGCAGTGAAATCTGAAGAAACCGAACTTTGATTTGCAGAAGAAGAAGACGACGACAAGTGGGGTGTGGTTTTGAATACAAGGCTTCCCTTTCGTCACTACTATTATCATTTGTGGAAATTGCATATGAGACCCTTTTATTTTTATACTGTATTGAAATAAACCACAACTTCTTAAAACACATAATAAAACCTTTTACTATCGTTGTTGTCTGGCTTCGGCTTCTGCCCCGACGAGTTAGGGGTATAAAACGGGGACTCGACTCGGACCAGCTTGATTCGGATGTAGAATTTTTTATATGGAGTTGGTTTGATCCAATAAGATTTCGGTACTATATTTGAAAGTTCGGAGTCCAGTCTTGTAGAATTTCGGATGAATTCATATTAAATTTCAGATATTTTTAATAATAAAAAATAATTTTTATTTATATGTTTATATGTAAAAAAATTAACAAAATATGTTTAAAATTAACAATATCAAAATAAAATTTTCTGAAAACTAAAAGAAAGATCGAAAGAAACTTACAACCCTTTATTAAAAAAAAGAAAGAAACTAATATTAATTCGATCGACTTTATATCCATGCAGCACAACCGATAAAATTTAACCATTTGGTTATAATTTTAGCAGCACAACAATCATATATAACAAACGGTTATATAGACTTAATCGGTTCGGTTCGATTCGGTTTCAGTTCAGTTTTTACATAATAAAATTATAACCAAATGGTTAAATTTTATCGGTTTATTCAGTTTAGTTTTAGATCGGTTCGGTTATCATATATTTAAAAAGAAAGAATATTAATCCTCCACGAAATTCAAAACATCTACCCAAATAAATCTATAAAATGATTAATCTCCAAAAAAATAAAAAAAATCTACAAAAAGCTTGATAAAAGTTAAAAACATTAACGGTTAATTCGGTGAAATACATGAGAATAAAAATATGAACTATAAAATAATGCCACTAAAAATAATTAGGATAAAAGTTAAAATATTGAAAAAACTAATAACCATTCGATTAGCTGAGGTTATTCGCTTATTTATTGAACTTCCTCAACCGTTCGGTAATTAAACAAATAACCGAACCGAACCGTTGTTATTCGGTTAATAACCGAAATGACCACCCCTAGATATAATTGGATTTAATCCCACACCGAACCATCAAACAAACATGGATAAACACCAACCACACCACCAACTACGAACATGAACAACATGCAATGACCGAACAATGTCGTGACAGAAAGAAAATATATAACATATCAACACAAAAGGCAATTTCTCACAAAGAAACCAAAAAAAAAAAACCTTAGGGCAAAAGGGACTGGTTCTTTCGTTTTAAGATCTTCAAAATAAAAAAGAACATAGGGAAGATAGATGTGATTGGGTAATGGTTAGAAAGATTACAAGTCCTATTTGATTATACGGCTCTACGGCAATAAGGGCATTCTCCGCAAGTTCTAAGCCAAGGAACCAAACACGAGGAATGGAAACTGTGGCTACAGAGCAAGGATATAAGCACATCCCCGTCTCTGAAACTCTCCAAACATATGCTACAATCCGTTTTCACCTCCGAGGAGATAAACTCTCGCCTGTGTAAACCGTTGATGGCGTCTCGGGTGAGGCCGTGTGGCTTCTTGTTGTATTCCCGGGATAGCTGTGAACCCTCGGGTTGAGAGGTTAGGTCGGGGAAGAAGGGAACGGTGTCTGCAGTATCGATCAAACTCAGGCTGGTACGAGAGGCGGAATCCCTTCCCCTGGAGAAAATAGAAGATTCAAGATTCAGTGCCGGAATTCCAAGGTGTGTTTCTTGATCGATACAAAGGGACATCCATCACAAAGAAGCTCGTAAACAAGTAGCAACACGCGGTATCGGAAGTTACTTAGCATTGGAATTTGGACCCCGAAAGAAACAAAGAAGAGAAAATCCATCATGCATTTAACAAGAAGGAAACTTTCCTCTCTTTCCTTTCTTAGAATGATCGAAACATCCCAATGATAAATTCCACAAGATTGCCATCTTCAACCAAGAAAACTGAAAGCATAGAATCCAACGGAAAGTTTCTATTAAGAGAAACACCAAGAAACCTACTATGCTTCAAAAGAATGTCTGAAAGAACAAGCGCAGTTACACTTCACCAATACTACTGTCCAAATCATGTTTCCACAAACTAAACTATAAGAATTCGATTGGAAGCTGCAGAACCATCAAAAAGCAACCCGTCAGCATCATCACAGTTATCATGCTAAGATTAAACACAGACCTGTTACCAGAAAAAGACACTCCCCTCAATCTCTCGACAAGTCTTGCCCTAGCAAGCAGAACAGCTCCGGGAAGCCTCTCGGTCTCATTCAAGCTTCCCCAGTTTCCGACACTCTGAGTTTCACCATTTCCACTGTTCCTACTCAAGACCTGGGTCGTGCTCTGCAAATTACGATTAGGTCTACGCTCCTGAGGCAAGAGCAAGACGATGTATGAATAACCCAATTCAGAATACTGAAAACATTATTCAAGGAAAAGGCAACAAAGCTAAAATCAGATAGAAAACAGGGACAGAGATTGAAGCTTACAGAGAAAGCGAACTGTCGGAGGCGCGAGGCTCGCCGGAGAGAGTCACATCCGTCGAAATTATGGCGGGTCTGATGGTTTTGACGGTGGCGACGGTGGTGGTCGTGGTGGTCGTGGTGAAAACTCCGGTTGAGAGATGGGTCGGATCCCAAATCCGGGTCGGGTCGACCCAGACGCGATCTTCGGGTGTAGAAGAGCTCCGATGCGCTCGTCATGCACCGATGAACGAAACCCTAAATGCGAGGAACGAAGAGGATGAGAAACAAATTGTGGATTTACCTGTCAAATGGTCAAGAAGAAGAAGAAGAAGAAGAAGAAGAAGAAGAAGAAGAAGAATAGAACGAGAGGAAAGAGATGAGAAATGGAGGAATGAATGAAACGTTTCTATTGGGAGAGGTGACGTCACCCTACGTCATCGTTTGTGTCGTGTTGAAAGTTCAGGCAATTTGAAACGGTGTCGTTTCAATGAAATATCTAATATTTAAATTTTCTCGTTTTTGACCCCACACGCCACTCATCACAATCCAATCGGGGCATTATCTGTTTTACCCGATGTGATAAACGTCCCTATGCCTACCCTCCTCCTATCCAAAAAATAAATTTACTTCTAAAATACCTTCTCAAATATATATTGACCAAAATAACTTTATAATATTATTTTATATTTATTTTTTAAAATTAAAATCAGTATTCTCTCCTCAAAATTAGGATCTCTCTCCTCCATGCTTCTCTTTCAAAGTTTTCTCTCTCTACATTGTTTTTTCTCTCCTCTGAAATTTGGATTTTTCCTTCAAAATTTGACGAAATCATAGCAAAATCTATATGAAATCAAACAGAAACTTAGAAATATATAAGCAGCAATCGAAATCTCAGTCTTTTTTATGAATATTGATGGTTTTAACGTTTTATCTTGTATTTTTTTTATTATTTACTAAGTTTTGTCATCGATTTGTGTCAAATCTGCATTTAAGTGTTTTTAGAATATAATTAAGTCATGGGTTATGTAGTTTACCTATCACAATAGTCAGAATAGACATATAGAACGCAAAGATAATAATGTGCATATCGGTCATGAATTGCAACAATAATACAGATCACAATAGATGGGTCATAAAGGTTATATAGTCATACGGTCACATAGTCATATGGGTCACGAGCCATTAGGATAATGGTTGACATAGGTCATAAGGGTCACAATGTCATATGGTCACACGGTCACACGGTCTCATGGTCACATGGTCACATAGTCACATAGCCCTTAAACCCTAACACCGTATACAAAGTGTTAATGAATGGTAGGAGAACATCTACAACGGGAGGAGAGAGAAACCGCAAAATGATAACAGTTGTAAATATGGTATTTTTGCAATAAAGTATATTGATGCAATTTATCTTGGTAAACAACAAACGTTGTGCCCCTTGATGTGCGGCAATGTCTCCCTGACCCATGAGCAGTTGACAACGCAATATTTGTTCATGGCAAGGTGACGAAGAAAGCGTGAACTTTTACTTGATCAAATGATTTGTTTTTTGTATTTGGACATTAACTATGACCCCCTTTTATTTGTTTCGTAAAACTCTAAATTATAAACTTTTATTTTTCGTTTTTGATTATTTTGTATCTGAATTTACTTATGAACTTGTCGGAGAGAACGCCTAATTTGTATATAAACTTATTTATGAATACATTATTATATAAATACAGTACATCATTATGCAAAGGGTGTTGGTTTAGTGCTCTATGATGTACTGATTATGAGCTTTGTTCAGATACATTCGATGTATTGATACTTTCTATGTGTTTTTATGAGAGTATTTTATTCATTACATGTTCTTGCATGCTAGATCTGTTATGAAATCCATGTATCATTATGAATGATACTAAACTCCCTAGTCTTGTGTCGTTATGGGAATAACGACATAATAAGACTAGCATGATGTGTGATTGATGATCACATAGATGATCATAGGTATTGGATACGATCACAATCATAGGTATTCGTTGCAGAACAGAATACTGGACTGACCCGCATGAGATTGTCACATGGACTAGCGTCATGACTTGAATCTCATATGACGGTTCCATGATTGGATCCTAAGACCTGAGATATCTACTGAATCCAACATGAGGAGTTGTGTGACACCCGTAACCCGTGTACAGTAATACGGGCTGTGCCACATGGACGATATAGAATAAAATAATAATTAACAGATTTGCGGAAGCGAAAAACGCGGAAAACAAAAACATTTTCAATCAAATATCAAAGTAGCAGCGGAAATACAAGCGATTAATTATCGCAATAAGTCACATGTCCGAATATTTATAATACAACCGTACAAAAACCGAATCAATAAGTCATGTGATACAAAATACAAATCCCGTACGTGATGCTGCTTCTCTCGGTTCGTCGTCTGCTGAGTCGCTAAGCGTAATCCTCGTGATCTGAAAAATGTAAACCACGAGGGCTAAGCACAACTGCTTAGTGAGTAGCCCGGGTTGAACCCGGAAATCCCGTTCTCAATGAGAACGGTACAATCGACATTTTC